TTTGGATAGGGCTTGTCATTGTCTGGGGCTGAATTAAGTCGATGGTCAATGTATCCTCCTTGTGTAACAGACAACAGATCGTCCTTTAATGTATCTAATTCGCTTTTAAACTTACTAATGTTTTCCATTTGTACTTCTTGCCATTGTTGTTGATTTTCCTGTAGTTACTGCTGACTTTCCTGCAATTATAAAAGTATAATACTACCCCATGAGACAGACTTAATATCTTCACCTGAAGTTTCTGTTGTTCTTCTACAGAACATTTACAAATACCATTATTTTTATCACTCAAGTTTTGAGTTTCCTCACACAACACCTATGTCATATATAATATAGTATTTTTATGCTACATGCTAATATACGCAGTGTCTCAACCACTACTTGCCTTCATATCCCAGCTAGTCTGAAGAGCTCTGGAATTCATCAAAAGGTCTTGTCAGCACCGATATGGGTATGGCTGATATATTATTATACACTCTTTTTTTACTTTCACTTAGGAGTTCTTACAATTATACCTTAATGTTTTAGATAAAGTATTTGACAAAAGAACTTTGGTAGCAGCTAGGCTTACAAATATTAATATTATTTAATTAGTTACATACCCATGATGGGAAGTACACAGATGGTTCAAAGTATTTCCCTTGATGCTTCTCTTTATTCAAGTTTCCAACATCTGCTTGTAGAGCATACGCTGCAAGAATGAAGGCTCGATCATCTGCTACTGAATGACAATATCTAAGCACATTCTCCCGAAGCTGAAGAAAGTAGTGATGCCTGGCTACTTTATCACTAAATATTTAAAACGATTGTTTATTGATTATTTTCTTACAACAAAATAACTAAAGCATATATTTTAAAAGAACCATCTTTTGTTCATATGCAGACATACTGATCTTAAAATAAAAGTCTGTGCTTGATGATTCAGAATCTTTGGACAGACACCACACACATTAGTCCCTCATAATAACCTTTTACAGATGCCAGATTTCAGCTTATGTCATGGTATTATAAACTATAAAGAAAAATTATACGATAAAAATGTTTTGAAGTTCCCTACACATATTGACTTGTGTCATCAAGTTATGAAAATTAAGTAATAAATTTAAAAAAATATTCAATTTAATAGTCTACTCTGAGAATTTTCAGAGTTGAACAAAAAAAAATCACATCTTGGTATCATAACCAAATAGTAATTTTTTGTTTTTCAGAAGTTTTATCTAATGCATATTTAGCAATAATATTGTTTGTTACCTAACAATAACTGATACAGAAGACAGTCTAGAAATTGAAAACTGTGATTCCTTTACAACTTACCTAATAAGCAAATGACTGTCAATATAAAATTGAACTCTAAAGTGGACAGTAAGATATGGGACTCCAATAGAATTCACTCCCTAAGTGTCACAGTAAAAGAATATATATATATCTTTTATTAGTATTGTACAGAAAACAAATAACATAACGAATATATATAATAATGTTTACTATTGGAGATAAAAGGCTTGCATTATATCATTACCCTGTGGGTGTGGGTATATTTTTTGCTCTGTCTCTCTCTCTATATATATAACATAAATTTATTAAAGGAAAAAATTATTTAACTATGCAGATGAAAAAATAAGTAACATATAAAAAATGTAATGACTACTCCAACCAAACTACACTGCATTCTTTCCAAAACAAATGGAAATTTACAATACGTACTGTGCCAGTACACAATCGTTATTTTTTAATTCAATTTATTTTTAAATACATTATGAGTTGTAAGAATTATATTTAGTACAAACCACACTTCAAAAAATCAATTTTTCAAATGGATGGAAAACTTTATTAACCTTTCAGCCATGCCTAACTAGCATTACAGAAATTGCAATGACACAGCACACATACACTCAGGTTATCGTATTCAAGAATATAAGACTGGACTTTACAAAGTGACCTGTCTTGGCTGTGTTCAAGTGGACCAGCATTTTAAAACATACAGTCAGATTTTGGTTATAATACATTATATAAGTATATACATTATTACTATTTACAAGTTCTGAAATTTCAATTATTTTTCTTAAAACATAGAACAGTAAGTAAAGAAGTATAGAAAACAATTATCTCTTCTAGTTACAAACTTTGTACTCATTTGCTGGTTACCACAAGTTGCTAAGTGCTAAGCCTTATCAAATTTCGCACATGGAGGATGTAAAACAAAATAATTTATTTTATGTTTTATAATTGCATTTTGAAAAAACAAAAACCTAAATTACTATACCAATACCACAGAATTCCACTATAATTTATCAAATTTAATAACTAAGCTGTATTTGGGGGTCTTAAAAATATATTTTTTGAGCTCACTAATGTCTTACCTTACTGTTTGGAATCTAGCATGAAAAGAAAGTTTCCTGCACATATACTTCACAGCAGCTGAGAAAACCACAAGGGGGACATTCTGAGCTTTTGATTGGTTATACACACATTACTGAGCAAAGTAGGTGTACATAAGAAAGTATTTTAAAAAATGTAAAGGTGGGTGAGGCCACCTTGGTTGATTCAATAAATATATTAATATTTCATAAAATAGAAAAGATAGGAAGTTCTTATCTAATATTCTAGCTTGTCAGTATCGGTAATTTAAATATCTAATTCATAAGAAACTATAGACTTTGTATTTGTGACATCACAAACATCTAGGTTGAACCAATGCTGTATTTAACATACCACATGACACACAAAAACCCACATTTAGGTGTATTTGTTTTTAATATTTACTTTTAAGTTAAGAAATTAACTAATATTTAATACTAACATTTTAATTATAATTTAAAATTTGATACCAAAGTTATTGAGATACATTCGTAAAGTAGTAGCCCAATAAAATTTTGAACGTGAGTCTACAAACACGATGACATGGCCTTTGACCTGTGACCATAGGAAGAATAGTGTCGGTAGAGTTAACATAGTTTTCTTTTATTGAAAAACTTTATTCTAGAATAAGAATAAACTATGTATGTCAAAGATCATCCATTTCAGAAAAACATATTACATAAAATTAGTGGAGCCTATCAAAAGAACATGCACACCAAATTTAAAAACTACTTGAATTGTTCTTAAATGAAAGCTAATTGATAAGAGGTTAATAAATCAGTGACATATTTTTTTCTTGTAAAACACTTTACAAACAAAAGAAAAACCTGCATCAAGCATGAACAATGAAGACAATGTGGTCCCTCTGACATCATCCAATACTCTGTGACAGGCAATTTAAGAATGTGTAATTACTAAGCCTAAACAAATCTTAGTTCCCAATATAGTTGATTTAGTAAAAGTGGAAACAAAATTGCTGAATGAACAGTTATTACTTATTGATAATAATAATCAAAAAACTCAATAATCCTGGATTATTTAATACAACAACAATAATGATAAATTCCAAAAAGGGAGGCACTGACTGTTTGAAAACATAACCCTTTACCCCTCTTTTTTATTGGGGTAGTAACTTTTACAGATACACACATACTTTAACCTCACTTTTTGGGAGGTAATTACTTGAAGGAGTTAATTATCCTGATTTATTTAGTGAAACAACAACAATAATAATAAAAAAAAATCACAATTATTTACCAATCCTGGACAATTTAGTATATAATTAACAGTAAACTTCATAGTTCTTTACTTACTGATCCTGGCTGACTTTTCCATCCTTTTGGAGCATATTTGACTAACTTAATATTCTGGTCAATAAATATAAACTCTCCATCTGTAATTGATATTATGATTCCCAGATTATTTTTCAGCTAAAAACTAAAATTCACTTCTACAAAACATAAGTGTCAAGTACATCTTTCCGTTAAAGTGTTATAACAAAGGAATTATTACAATGGATCTAAGCTGTACATACAATGTTCAAAAATTGTCACATTGTGAAAATGAAGCTCACAACAAAACCTCAAGTCAATTGTACATACACAAAAAATGACAGGACTTACTTTACTCAAAATTAACATTATTAGTCCTAAAAATGAAGCACTTTAAAGCAAGCTTCTTTTTTTTTTTCAAATATAACCAATAAGTACTTCTATAAGTTATGAAAAAATTCTCTGAATACTGAACTTTGAACAACTTTCAAAAATTTTGTTTTAACTCCTAACTATCTAGAACAAAGTTCAGCTCACAGTCAAGCACATATCTTTGTCACAATAAATCTTGAACAAACAAAAACTAGTAGCTGTTTAACTATTTTACTTTCACTGTGGATTTAATATATGTTGTAGCAAGTCAGAAATATGGCTGAATAAGACCAACAACGGTGCTATAAGTTTAAGTAAAAAAATTATGTAAACTGTTAAACTCATTGGATGTTTTCTCATATAGAGAATATTCTTTTTTACTTAACTAACCTGCATTGTTATTTTTTCCCAGAAATAAGAGTAAATATACATGGTAAAATGTTGAAAAATATTAAAATATGAGTGATTTACTGTAAATATCCTATATGAATGAGATAATTAACTAACAGAATAGCTACCAAGTTTCTAAATGTATTAAGGGAGAAGTTGTTCAACTAATTACTAATTTACAGTATTATATTATTATTTCTCAACTTCTTGCATATAAACACACAGATCACAAGAACATATGTTCATTATATGGTGTAAAAGGACTATAAATTAACCTAAATAAATTTTTCAATACAGATGTAAGTACAATACATTTAACCCTTTCTGGGTGAAAAGAGTGTCACTGATATCCCCATATTTTTTCCTTCTCACAATAGAAATACTTGATCAACTTGCATACGATGTAGTACAAATTTACTAACAAGTATCTAGTTTTGGTTTTTAAAAAATCAAATAATTTACTTTAATATTTCTACCCTTTTCTAGACTGTAAAAATGCCCAAACTTTGTGGTCAGACGTTGTTTATAGAAAACATTAAAAATAGTTATTTTCACTTTAGAATTTCCTTTTCTTTGAACAGAAAGTTCTGTTTTATCTATCTATTTATCTTCAACTTGATTAATCTCATTAACATCTCATATTTTGCTAACTACAGTAGTCACAACTTCTGTTTACAAATCATAAAAACATTGACAAAGGTGTGTCAGTGACCTAGAACCCCACCTTTCAAAGTGATGTTCTCATTTAATATTGTCAGGCTAGGTATTGTGAATTTTGCTAACAATATTCTTGATTGATATCAAACTTATACATAATAAGTATAATTCATTTTCAATAAATGATAAGTTATTTTATTTGTGTCCATTATTTGAAAGAATAAACTTGACAATAAAATTTAATAAATAATAATTTGAGTTATTGAAAATTTTTCAATCATCTACCATACACACAAAAACTAACACAGCTTACCTGATATCTTTTCATAAAAGAAAATTTTTGTAGGTTTCAAAAAGACACAAGTTAACATGAAAATATTTTTAGGAATGAAAAGAGTACCTAAAGAAACAATAAAAATTCCCAGATCTGTGGTTTGTTCCCAAATGTTCTATACTTCCCACTGGATTCCATTTTTAACCCTTGGATGGTCATTATCTCACGAAACCATAAATTACTGCTAAAAACCACTTTTTTATGCTATTTTGGCATAAATAATGTATAATCTGTTCTATTCAATCATTATTAAACATTGAGTATTGGTATTTTAAAAGCTGAGCTATATTAGTAATTAGCGTACAGCACATCAAAAATGATGGGGCAAGTACTACTACCCCCACCCCATAGTATACCCTAACCTCACATTTCATAGCTAATTGAAAAATTTTTTTACAAAATCAAGCTTGACCAACTAAGAGGCAGAAAATTGCAGTTGAGACAGTCAAACATTGATAAATTCCTTTGTGAGCCAATCAAAATTAAGATCACTCATGATTCATGGTGTATTCATAGAATAATTATCGGTAAAAATCAGTTAGATTGACAACTTGTAATATATAGAAAAGCCAGTGCATTTTGGTAACACTACATTCAAACAATGGATTTTATTTAATGTCACTTAAAACAAAAGTATAACCTAATATTCTTGTTAGTCTTTATACTAAAAGTATAAAATGAAATTTATAGATAACAAAATTTGTTGATTTCTTAATTTAGTCTAGATTGATAAATGAGGTTTGTTTTTTATTAAAAATGTTGGTGATATAATAGAAAAGAGCTTAATTCAGAAACAATTTAGGTTTAAAATTGAATCAATGTTTTTACTTTCATGATAAGTTTTATGCATTTGGCTAGGTGATCTCACACTACTACTTTACTTTAGGCTTATTATACCAACACTCACTACACTTATATACACTTTTATATCAATTGTAAAATTATACTGAATTAGACACTGAAAGGTGCTCATGGTCATGATAGAGTTAACAGTTAACATTTTGGTGGTTGCCCTTCTTTAGGTCATTTGCTGTAAATTAATATATTATTTATATTTGTGCAAATAAAAATCAGACAAATTATTGATTTATAATGTAGTAGATTATAAACAAAAATAACTAATTGATCTACTGCACAATCTTCAAGCACAAACATATTAAAAACAAAAAAGGATTATGTAAATTCTCATAATTGAAAATAAAATGTATCCATCTTTACAAATGTCACTTTATTTTGAAGTAAAAACATATTGCATTAATTTTGATAAAAGAGTTAGCACAAATGATCACATATAAAATATAATAGACTTAAAATAAGACCCAAAACTCGAGCGCTTTCGAATAGTTGTTCCCCTGAAGAAGAATAGTCAACTATTCGAAAGCGCTC